GGCCCCGCCTTTTTTTCTATGCAGATTCTCAACCACTTTTTCGAGTCACTTTTGCAACACGACATTCATTGCGTCCTCTCCACCACCAGTTACTGAATGCACCATCTCAGATCGCCGTCTCCTCCAATCACCATCCACAACTCTCGCTCTTTTGGGTAGTTCTGTCTGCTACTTCAGTACAACATCTAGTAACAGCAACTCTCTCAGAGAGTCAGCGCAGATCCAACGATTCGACAGCCACTCACGCCACCCGTCGCTTATACTCAGTCACCCTCTCCATCGACTCATCCTTTGAGGCTCCCAGACCACAAAACCACTATCAGTCTGAGTCACGTGTACTCTTAAATATGCTCCTCTCGAGCGCCCTCCATCAACACGATCCCATTCAATCTTCTTGATCAAGTCAGTGTCTGTGCATTTGAAACCACGGCTCCTCGATGCCACCCAAGCCGCCCCCACCCAAGCCTCGGGCAGGCCAACACCGCCGACCCAACTATCGTGGGCGCATCGAAGGCTTGGGCAGCCCGGCACCAAGTTCTCTTCGAGCATCGACCCCTACACTTGTGCGAGCACCCACGCCAGTCAGCCAACCTCTTGCTCGCTCAAAGCCTCTGTGTCCGAATCCCGACTGCCCCGACCGGACAAAGGTTGTGTACAGCGATCAAGGCCTCATCTGCGAGAGTTGTGGTGCCCTAGTACAAGAAGAATCCGGTCTTGTCAGCGAGCAGGGATTCGGTGAAACTGAGTCTGGCCGTATTACCGCCCTTGGTGTTCAGGTTGGTGAAAACCAGTCTCATCAAAGGAACTACCACAGTGGTGCTTTCGGGAGTGCTGGCCGTGAGGCGCCCCTCAATCGCGAACGCTCAAAAGCTCAAGCCAGGAACATCATGTCTTCTTACATCGCTCTCCTTGGTATCAGACATACCGAGGTCGAGACAGCCGAAAGACTCTTCGAGTTCGCAAATACTCTTGGCTTTATCCAGGGAAGAACCATTGAGAGTGTAGCCGTCACGTGCCTCTACGCTGCTTGCCGACGCAAGACCGAGCAGGTCGAGGGCCAGCCCAGACCCATGTACAGCCTCATGCTGATTGATTTTGCCGAAAAAATGAATACGGATGTTTTTGCCTTGGGAAGGGTGTATCAAGACCTCGTCAAGAAGCTCTACCTCCAACAAGGAAGAGGCTATCGAATGGATGGCTCAGCAGAATTCTGGGGCATGGATCCAGCCACGCTTGTACCTAGGTTTGTCGACGAGCTGGATTTTGACAAGCATGATCGAGACAAAATCAAACGCGATGCTATTAACATCGTCAAGCGGATGAAGCGCGACTGGATCGCCCATGGCCGCAGACCCTCGGGTGTCTGTGGTGCAGCGGTCATTCTGGCAGCTCGAATGAACAATTACCGCCGGACTACTCGCGAGGTCGTGCTGACTGCGAAAGTCACCGAGATCACTATCAACAAACGACTCGAGGAATTCCATGATACACAGGCCAGTAAACTCTCGGTCACGAAATTCAGAAGTGACGGGATTCCGGAGCCCTTCACACCACACCCACTTGATGAGCAACAACCGCCTGTCTTGAAACAAGCACTAAACCCTAAGCCCAAAGGCAGGAAGAGGGGACGACCTCGAAAGAATCCCCTTCCAGAGACCGCCGCAGAAATCGATGGGGATGCCGCAGGTCCCGGAACCCAGGCTGCTCAGGGTTCGGCTGAAGGACAACCACCGCCGGCAAAGCGAGTTCGCATCGATGCAGAAGGCTACAAGATCCCAGAGATCCCAGCTCGACTGCTTGCGATTGACCCAGCTCTAACCCAGGGTGAGACGCCTGCTGAATCACAACCTGAACAAACCGACGCATCGCGAGAGGCAACACCTTCATCATCGCACAATGGCGAAGGCCAGGACGTCTCAGAATCCTCGCAGCCTCGACAGCGAAGACATAAATCTGCGCACTGGAAAGCACCACCTGCATCAGCAGCGGAAATCGCGATTGAGAACGAAATTGAACAAGGTATCGCAGAAGCATTACGGGACAACCCAGAACTCGATCCAAACTACCGGACTCTACCTCCAGGTGAACAGCAGGTACAGGAGCAACTGCCCAGTGGTGGCGTATCTTCTGAACCAGGAGAAGAACAAGGTCGACCACTAGCCACCATAGATCTCACGGTCGACCCAACTGAGACCGTTCCCCCACACCCAAAGGACAAGAGAGCGGGGCCCCCGTGTAACACAAACATTGGTAATCTTGGCATCGTTTCTCTTTCTCCAACTCTCGGAGCCTCAGAATTCGACTCGGACGAAGACGTCTCTACCTGTCTCTTGTCCGAGCAGGAGACCTGCGTCAAGGAAAGAGTGTGGGTGAGTATGAATGCCGATTGGTTGCGACAGGATCACGCCAAGCGGATCAAGAAAGAATTGAAGGAGGCGGACATGAGGGCGAGAGGCTTGGACCCGGAGCAGGAGGAGAGGAGAAGGAAACTGGAGAGGATGAGGAGAAAGGATGGGACGAAGAGACCGGGTCGCCGGGGAGACGTGAGCTATTTGAAGGAGCAGCGCGGCGGGAGAAAGAGAGGTAGAGGTGTGGAGGGCGAGGGTGAAGGCGGCGAGAGAGTGGACGGAGAGGGTGCAGAGGTTGAGAATGAAGGAGACGAAGGGGAAGGCGGGGACGAACAGGACAACACCACGGTCGGCGGAAGAGAGAGAAGTGCCGCGAAATCCATGAGGCTGATGCTCATGAACCGTAGGACGTTTTCGCGGCGGATTAACTATGACGCCCTCGAAGCCATCTACGGCATGTCGTCAACCAGTGAGGACAGCGAGTCGCGTAGCGCAACAGGCGAAGCTCGAAGCCGCAGCCAGAGCGTCGCACAGAGCGATACCACTGCGACCCCAGGACCTGAGGGTGGGCGCGAAAGAAGCAGGGAAGCCAGTGTTATGAGCGCCGCCAGCACTGGACCGTTGGAACTCTTCCGCGGAAACATGAGCAAAGAGCGGAAAAACGCTATCCAAGCAGCAGATAGAAGGGAGAAGAAAAGACGGGAGCAAATAGAGGGGGAGAAGGGCGACAAGTCCCCCACCAACGATGCTGCTGGTGCCCGCGAGGGAAGTCAGGGGAGTGATGACAGAGCGAGCAGGTCGGTCTCACGGAGTCGAAGCGCGAGCACACCTGCCTCGGAGGGAGAAGGGGACGCAGAGGAAGACAATCGTGGGAGAGAGCGTGAAGTCAGCGGCCCGAGTCCGGAACGTGAATCTCGACGGCAGCAGAACCAGCAACATCAACTTCCCTCTCCGCCCAGAACCCAGTCCCAGCAACATCAACTTCCCTCTCCGCCCAGAACCCAGTCCCAGCAGATTCCTGCCATAAAGACGTCCTCTGCTCCGTCGTCCTCGATTCCACAAATCCAAGTCACAGGGGGAAGTACTGCGTCGAAATCAACGGCAGGACAGCCCGCTGTGGCAGAAAAGGGGGATAATGCGCCTGAGGACGACGATGGTGATGGCGACGAAGAGGAGGAGGAAGATGATGACAATGACGACAACGACAACGACGAAACAAGCTACGACTCGGACGAGAACGTGGATGAGGAAGAGGAGGCCGGTGGCGGTGATGATGGAGAAGCCGATGAAGATGTCGACGCCGCGTTCGAGGGCCGCTATGTTGGTCGTTAGGATTTGATCACTCATCCGTTTGATCAATCCATCGATCGATCGATCAGCCAGCCAGCCAGCCAGCGAGTCGTGAGCAGTGAGTGATAGGGGAGGCAGGAGAGTCCATATCACGAATCAGGCATCAGGGCCGTGGCCAGGCATGGCGAGGGGTTGTTGCTATGGACATCAATGGCTAACCCCCAGCAGGTGCAAGCACACGAGTGCCGTGTCCACGAGCATTGGAGTGGAGGAGGAGAGAACAAGTCGTGTCTTGTCTTGTCTCGTGTCGCATCACGTCTCGTCTCATCTCGTCTTGGTTAAATAGATAGATGATACCCACATACTAAGTACATACATAGGTACCAAACAACATAGGATATGCATTGACCTACCTACCTTCACACATAAAACACCCTCGCGTAAGCTGTACGTGCACTTGACTAACTTTTGTCCCTTGTTCGGACTGATCTTCATCTATCCGGATATAAGTAAGCAGTCACCAAAATCACTCGATACAAGATTACATACGACATGTGACATGCTGCAAGAGACAAGAGACACGAGACATGATATGACATCCAGTGTCTTTCGTTGCTACCAACGATTCGATTTGATCCGCGGTACTTGATCAATTCAATGGATCTTATCCTATCCTAACCTCCGATAAGTCATATTCACGGACCAAACGTTGGCATGTCTTCATGTTTCCTGTAACGCATGTCCCATACACCATATCGCTCAAGTACCCAATAGACTTGGCCGGTATTTCAACTCTCTATCCTCTGCGGGTCTCACCGCTCTCGATGGCCCAAGTAGAGTCCGTCGCTGGCTTGAGCAAGTGTTGAGCCAGCAGAAGTGGACGCTGTCGCCTTCCTGCCCTGCGGAACGCTGTAGAAGGTCCAAGGCAAAAGAATGACTTCAAGAGGTCATGTAAGGTCGAGACGGGTCTGTCAGAGGCCTTTCAACTCGGTTGTTCTAGCCGAGGCAGCGTTTCGGATGGTAAGATGAGAAACGGCTTTGTCCCTTGGTGATGTCCTCCCCTCCGTCTGTCGTGCAGAGGAATTCAAGACGAACAATTGTCCCTGCATTCGTTCCTTTGGAGAACGCAACCCGGGCGGGACGACTTGCTCGAAATTCTGTTGTACCATTCGACGTTGTGGTAGGTCAGTCTGTGGCTTCTGTCGCGGCCACGCGGGGAGTGCAAGACGTCCTTATCGATATTGTGCTACCATCCCAAATCACGTATGCCCATCGTGCCCATGGTAGCTGCTATTCCTGAGTGTGCTCGTAGCATTGGTGTTGTGGTCGTATCTCGTTATAAATGCATCTCGACATGGATGTTCACGCCTTGCGCTGATCCCCATCTTCCATCTGATCGTCCATCTCTTCTTCTATACTCTCCGCACTCAAACCTCTCCTGTGTCCCTTTTGGTCCTTGCTCTTTTCGTTCCCTAGGTCGCCGTCCTGCTCTTCCCGACCCACGCCCAACCCGATGCCGCCGGTCACCAGATCTCGAAAACTCATCCTCCTCGGCCTATCGCGAAGACTGGGTGCTCGTGGTCGATGTTCCCCTCTGGCCCGTCCACCCCAAACGGGCACTTCATGCCACATCCGGCGGCAGATGTAGTACAAGACGTCGTAGAGGATGGCGAGGAGCCAAGGGGCGATGTTGATGATCGCCAGAATCAGCTGCGACTCATTAAAATGAATGTTAGAATCGGCCAGAGAAGGTGGACTGGGAGCAGAACGAAAAACAGGCACGCGGAAACAGAGCCAAAGGCGAACAAAAGGCGTCAACTTACAAATGCACGCACGATCCATGTTTCGTAGGCGGTCAAGTGGGACGGGAGAAGGGAGTACCACGCCATCGTCTTCGTCTGTGTACACTGCGCCGACTCTTTCGACGCACCCGGATTTCACGACTTCGGAGGAGGGTACGGGCTGGGACGTGGTGGCTACGACGTCTCGAGCTCCGACACGGAGGCGAAAATGTCGAATCAGGACACTACTCTGGTGTCTGGGCAGAGGAGCATCGCCAGCGACATGGTTCGACGAGACGCCCCGGACCAGCCGGCTGAACAGTCGCCGCAATGGAATGGGTGGTCGAGGAAGGCACGGGAGGGATTTTCGACGAGTATACGTTTCTTGACAGTTGTTGCGTCTCGACCTTCATATGGAGGCGCACATACTCGACATTCATTACCGAGTTGGCCTGGATGCATAACTTGGGTGTTCTCGTTAGGGTTGCATGAACTATTATGTCCTATTACTCCACAGTACAACTTGTACTAGCATTGGCTGATGACATCATACTAGTAAGGATAACCGCACAAAGACCAGGCTGCGAAATACCAATTCAAGAAAATAGTTGTCTGGTTTGTACGGTTTCGAACGTTTTCATGGAAGAATGATTAAGAGCATTTCTAATACCCTCTATGGTGATTCTTGGAGAATTGCCCTCAGAACCGTGAATATCCCACCCGTGTCCCATGTTGAACAAGCACAAAGACAATGAAGAAACAGACAAAACACTTCTCCCAACTTGGTATCATAAAACTTCGCACATTTTCTTTTCCCCAGTCCTGTTTTCTTTTTTGGTTCCTGTCAAGTCGAAAGCGAATCGGATTCCGAATGAGGAAACCGGAAGAAACCCGGGGCATGTCGCAAGGGAACTCCGAACAGCAATATGCCCACCCTATTCCACTCTACGCCCAACTTCGATCCATCAAGCAGTACATGGCTCGCCATAAAAGGACGACCAAATATGAGACATGGCAAACGAGACCATCGTGTCGTCGTCATTTCATCAAGTCATAAGTCTGCGCTTTTTCTTCGCAGGAGTCACAGGGTCGGAAGCTCGTCCATGGTTGGGATCTCGCATCCGCTGCACAGGTGTCACTCCTTTGTAGTGCGAAGAGGTGTACGGCGAGACATGATTCTTCCTCTTGCGGCGAGACGGTGCTGGTGTTGCAAGAGGCGAACTCAAGTAATCTAGATCCAGATATGACGGCATTTGGCTCATCGCCGCAAAAGCCGGGTCAGCGTTGCGCCGGAATGCCGTGATATTGCCGTTGTTAAGATGAGCGAAATCATTGCTGAGGAGCTCGTGGTTGGGAGGCATGAAGATGGGCGATGTCGGAGCGTCGCTGTCCTCAGAAACACTGTCGAATTGTATCACATCGGTGAGACTGATGACATCTTCCCCAAGCCCATCCGTTTGAAAATCTCCAGCGAGATCGCCCTGGTCAACGGTAAAATCATCGAAAAAGAAGTTGTTGGTAGGGTAGAACGCTTCCAAGGGGCCAACAGCCTGCCCCTGATTGAAAGGGTCATTGATCGCAGAATTGAAGCTAGCAAGCATGATGTCTGCGCTCTGCCCAGTTAAGAGATCAGTAAAGTCACGATCGCCGGCATCGCTCTCCTCAATGAGCTCGGCAAAGCCCACATCTGGACTGGATGTTTGGGACGCTCCGTAGCGACGGGCGAACTCTTCACCCAGCAGATGGGGATTGGTCATGAGGATGATTTTCCCCGAGGAGTCGAGAATACCAGATGTCTTGTCACCTTCGTCGATAAAGATGCCACGCGGCGGGCCCCGACGCCGAGCTGGTTTCTTGCCCGACTTCTTGGATGGCGGTGAAGCCGAAGGCGACGTCTCTTTCTCTTCGTCGGCCGCATGGGGAGTGCTCTGAAGGGCCTCCTCCGGCAAACAGTCGTCGGTCAGATCAGCTGCAGGGTGTTAGTCATCATACACACGGACAAATCACATCACAACATACAATCATCCAGGTCATCGACCAGGACGCCAACGCGTCTGTCAGCACCTTGGTGCAAGAATCCAGAGTCGGGTAGTGCTGAGGGTAGCAGGGCACGAGTAATGGTAGGCGATTCGGACATGCCTAAGAGAATGGTTGGGTCGGCATCGGTGGCAAAATGCACCCGTTTCTCGGGAGCGGTTTCAGTGGCACTGTCGCTACCTTGTGAAGAGGGAAAACGGTAGATGGAGCCATCACTCTCATCTCCAAATCCGTAGGCAGACAAGCCATCAATCTGGTTGAGAAGGAAGTCGGCATCACTCTGACCTTCTTCGGACAGCATGGCAAGCAAATCTTGCTCTTGAAGTTGGTTTCCATCCACATCGTCGTCGGAATCACTAATATCATCGACAGCCCGGTAGATGTCATTGTCGTCGTCTGATTCTGCAAAGACCTTTTCTTCAAAACGCTTCCTGTTTTCTTCGGGGGAGAGGTCGGGGTCTTCGTCATCCTCGTAGTAGTCTTCAAAATCACCGAACATACTCTCTGAGCTGCCAGCGAGGGATACATTATCCCGCGACTTGATTTGTTTTTTGGGCCCCGCCCCATTCAATCTCCGGGAACGAGACGGGGCTTTTACTGCTGGCAGGTCATCTTCATCATCGGCTTCATCCTCACTCTCTTCGTCCGAGGCATCATCTGCAGTCTCGGACCCATACGAGGAGAGATCTTCTCCCGAGGTCGAGCTGTCGGCTTTTTTCCTTTTGCCCGACGATTTCTTTGTCACCGTGTATTTGCGAGGAGGTCTGCCCCTCTTTGGCTTGGGTTGGTAGGTGTCATTGGGGTGTTCTTTGGACTTGAATAATTTGACGGTGGAACCCAGCATAGGCTGGCGGCCCCTCGAGTTGCGGGTAAAAAGCCGGGACATTGTAGTGCAATGGGGCAGACTTTCGGTAGTTGTCAAGAAAGTAGAGTATTAAGAATAAGTGGTAGAGGTTTGGGTGCGATATCAAGGATGGCGGGGGGGGTGTAGGCGGAGGAGGTCGTCCTGGAGGGGGTGAAAATATCGTTCTTAGCACCTGTGTCGCAAGGACAGCTAAGTGCCGTTCAGGTGTGCAAGCAGGGCAATTTCGAGGACAGTAGTGGACACGAGCTCCTACGCGGTAGAGCCTCGAAAGAGTAGATATCGAAACGAGGATTTGCTGGAGCTGCTTGACTGGCCACGAGAGAAGGACCCCCTCCCCAGAGCGGAGAGGGGACCTCCTGGCCGTCTAGAAAGCAGCGAAGGCCATGAGCAAAAGATGATCCTCGAACGATATGACAGGAGATGCTGGGACTCGAATGTTTTGGCAGGTATCAATGGGCTGGGTTGAAGTTGTTTGGGTTGTAAGAAGAGGGAAAGAAAGGGAAAAAAAGGTGAGAAGTCAGGGCTTCAAAAAAGGCTTTGAACTTTGTAGGGCCACTACAACCTACGCACGACGTACGGTGACTGCGGCGGGCGGCGAAAGGGCCCTCTCCACCAGTGGGCGGCGGGCGTCCAGGCGGAAAGCATGCCACTTGTTAGTTAAAGAGACTAAAGGCTAGTCACCTATCGACGCACAGTACCGAGTCGGGTTTACAATTCTGTAACTCCACAGCCTGCGAGTGCGGATCTCAGAGCCTGCACACCGCTATTCCCGGCGCTCTCTGTGACTGGGCCATCGATGAGCCTTCTACATCTAGAGCTACGTAGATTCGCATCATTGGTTGCACACTTGCATCCATGCCAATTGTTGGCATGGTTAGGCGTCTGCGAATCTCTCAGTTCAACGGATCCCTAGTGAGCTCAGAAGTGATAATCATTCCTCTCCGGCCATGAGCCAAAAAAAAGTCAAAAGGAAAAAAAAATATCAGATGTCGGGTCTCCATCAGCCCCTCGCGTGCCTCAGGAGCAACCACCAATCACGGATGCATTTCATGGTCGGCAGTGACTCCAACGGATTCCAATGACTCAATGGGCCGAGAAGCCAAGGAGAGACGCGACAGGGTCACCACGACAGGCCAGTGCCCCTCAGTCCCTATAAAACTCAATTTGTGGGGAGGCGCAGTACTAACGAGGTACACCATCACCCAGCGTTTGGACGATCGAAAGAATGGTATTACTCTGGTTCCTGCTGAGTATTGAGATCATCAAATTGACAATGGCAAGAGTTGTTACTGAGCTTCGCTGCATAGTCGTCGCTGTGGTCGTCACTGATTGTACCTCAAGCATCAATGCGCAGTCTGAATTATCCCAACCTCGTCCGGCCCCTTCATCCTCCAGACACAAACCGCTAGTCGCAAGGGTGAAACAAAGGTGAAAATTCAAGGTGGGAGTAAAAAAATAAAAGAGAACGAGAAAATGCTGGATAGTTCCCCACACGCTCCCATCGGTTTCATCATCTTCATTATTCGGTAGGTTGTCACGCATGCATTCTCCCTGATCAGCCCGACCCAATCCCGATTCATCACGGCGCCTGCGTCGTTGGAGGAACCACCTTGGGCTCCACTTCGACAGGCTGGTCTGATACCTCCACCGCTTCCTTTGCGGCCTGAACCTCCTCTATGCCAGCTTGCACATCTTGAATGGAGGCCCCTTTCTCAGCGGTGGTCGTCAAGTCTTCACCCGGATGCTCTGACTTGTAGTCCACGTCCAGCTTTTGCACCTCCTCTTCTGTGAGCTTGCGTTCTTTTTCTAGCCTAACTTCTCGACCACGTTTGTGACAGTACCAAAAGACAAAGAGTAGCACTACGAAAAAAAAACCCAGGGTCAGTGCCATACTCAAAATTTGCGCTCCAAGGGAATGCTCTTACCAAATAGTGCCAGCGACCACAGCACGTTCATACCCATGAAAGCTGGAAATCGCGCCCGAAGATAGTTCATGATTGATCTGAGCGCGGCTGTGATAGCGGTTGGCTTGCCCACCAGTTCTTTCAGGGACGGGGTCTTGAATCCCATCTTCTTGGCCGCCGCAGCCGCCTTGCCTGCGTTGTCCATGTTGACACCACTCTTCTGGGCCCTTTCGGCCGCTGCAGCCATCATCTCGGGCGCAAACCCTTTCGTCATGGTTTCCGGAAGTCTCTCGATGAGCTTCTGCAGAAAGCTTGGTAGTGAATTGAAGGTCTTCTGCAATTGCCGGTCACCATTCGTCAATAACTTTTCCAGGTCATCGTATGCGGTTGGGACACCGTTGACCAGGTCTTTAAAGATTAGATTGAATTTCTGCAACAGTTCTTGTGTTTCGTCACTAATGGAAAAGACTCGATTGTTAACCGCCGCGAGGTTGAGCCGTTCCAGTACGATGGTCATGTCCTCTTCTTCCTGCCTGGCCTGCTTGACTTCTTCGCTGTCTTCCAACTCCCGCTTTCTAAGGCTAGCAGCGATGTCTTCTAAGCCAGCTGCAGTGGCTTCGTTCTTTTGGCGTTTGACGTCTCGACTGTCACGTCTGAGCCAGCTCCAGGTCGCCTTTGACTTGGACTGGGTGTTATCTGTTGCGTCATTTGCATCTGTCTGGAGCGTTGCTGGCTCTTCGCTGAGCTCACTTGGAGTCTCGGGAGGCAGTGGAATGTTTTGGGCCCCGTCCATAAGAGCGATTTGGGCATCCTTGCCTACCGATGCGGCCCCAGGGCGGGCGGGGAGTGGAGGAGGATTTTCTTGGGATGTGATTCGATCCAGGAACTTCTCATCCTCTTCAGATAGCACCGGGGCTTCTGACCTGCGTGCTGTTACAAGATGGGCCTTGGCCTTGATGTAATTAATGTATTCCATCGCCATGGTGCAGGAAGTCTCAACCACAGGTAAGAATTATGTTAGGTCAAAACCAAGAGGCTTGTGCCTAAGGAGAAAAGAATAGAAAATGGGATTTCGGACAAAGGAATAAGGGTATCAGATTATCATTAGTGATGTATGAGGAAGTTGATACTGAAGCCTTTTGGTCATATCGAGGGGAATGGTGGTGGGTGGGTGGTGTCTGCGCCACAAACGACGTCATGATTAGAACTTGACACAGCCATATCTCTCAACAGCCAATCAGAGTCGCAGTAGACTATCAAGGCTCAACAACGCTCTGGTTGGGAACAGAGCAAAGAGGAGAGTCACAGCTGCGAAATGAAGGAATAGCTCTCCAGTGGAACTTGTCTTTCGGGACTGCAGTGTGAATGGTCTGTAGTGAGCTATGTGTGTTAAAAGGGGTCAAAAAAAGAAAAGGAAAGGTATAATGTGCGCCCTGAAGATGGAGCAAGTCAATAAAGATCGCACAAGTGCCCATTTTGAGACTGTATACATCGCAACAGGACTTTAGCATGCTCAGCCCTGAAGTATATTGTGGGCCGTTTTCGCTGACAGAAGATCCCCTGGTCAACCTTAAGGAGCCATGAAGACCACGAGCCACCAGTGCAGCAGTGACAGTCACCTGCGGTGTTCTTTTTATCGACCTCACCTTCACCTGCCATGCGTGTCACCCCTAACTGCCTTTTGGTGTTTACAAGTGACAAAGCGTGGAGAATTTCAATATTCCTTTCTCAATACCCCTCTTTCTCGTCCCACGCGCTGTGCTTCCACGAACTGTGGAGATATCGACGGCCTTTCTATACAAAGATGCGCGCCGATACCCAATATTTCGAAAGCCTCACGGCTCCTCGCAAGCTGGAGAGAAGAACTCTCGTTTTTCGTGACAAACTCACCAACGAGCAACCCAAGAAAACAGCGCCTGCACTCGTCTTCCGCCAGAGCACTCATCCTCTCCCGTACTTCGCCCATCATCAACTCGATCCCCAGTACTTTCCCCTTGGTAGGTCGACCACCCAATGTCTCTGACGAGGGGAATATATTCCATGCTTTTTCGAGTCTAATGCTCAGCAGATATCGGTCAGCCATGTGGCGGCCCAATAGCCGACAATCGTGGAGCCACGGCCGACAATCAAGCTTGGGACGATGAGGACAGCGATGCGGCAGCCGATCTTGAGTCCGAAGCAGAGGATGACCTGAATGCGGAGGTAGGAATATCTATAACGCATTTTCTCATTTGATTTGGTGTCGCTGATCAGACTGACTAGGGTTCCCATGGTAAGCCCAAACGTCGTCGTAAATTCGACTCTGCCAAAATGGCCAATGCTGGAGATATCAAGAAGATGAAAATCCAGGGAGGCCGCCCTGCCGTTGCGAAGAAAGTCACGGCGGACCTGGACTCCGATGACGAGATGATTGTGCGCATGAAAGAGGCTCGGTTTCTGGAGAAAGACATTGCACAAGCTCTCATCGATCAGGGTCGCACCGCCTACAATCCAAAGACCATCGGCACGCGTTGGCGACGCATCAAGGCAGCTTTGCAGAAGCGACAGGACGACCTACTTGACGCGGACTTGACAGACTGGCACGAAGGGGATGTAGGTTTTGGGGTCACAATTGGGAACGAACAATGACTGACGAAGACACGCAGGATGATGTTCTTCTGCAGGCTGTCATCAAGACCGAGAAGGAAGTGAAGAGGCTCAAAGACGACATCGAGTCGAGGAAGTGGCGCATGGTGGCTGATCAGATGAAGTCATTGAAGGCATGTCTCGCAATGTCCCCGATGCCAGATCTAAGTCAGTACTAACTGTGCGGGTCGCAGCCCGTGGTCAACTTCTCCCAGAACGCCTGTCGAGATAGGTACGAAGCTCTTCAGCATGGCTGCGCAAAACCTACCCCCGAATCGATTGAGAACCCGAACCCTGAAATCCTTGAACGTATTAGATCCCGAAAGGAAAAGGAGCGCAAGATTCGAGAAGGAAACCAGATAGCTGAGCTGGAGCAGAAGAACGTGGAGGCGAATGGCTGGACTTCGAGGATGCGGACCTATTTCTAGTCAACCGAATGGTAGACACCAAACGCAGACAGTTGGAGCGTCTACCAGCTAAAGACCTGGATGAGCAGTGGTGACTGCGCAATCAAGCATGCCAGGCACTCTTGCATCACAACGGCACTTTTGTGCTTTGCCGATATACGGAGGGCTTGCGCATACAATGTCGCCTGGTGAAGTAACTCCCGATACGGCGAATTAACCAGGCTCACATTTGGACAATTTCAGTACTGTCTCGGAGGCGACGACGCATAACCATTGACCTCGGGATACGCTTCTCTGTCATTTTTGGATGTGAACATACACAGAGGTACCAGCGGATGCCGGGAGGATGACAATGTCACAAGCTGTTGATCTGAATTCTTTGAAGCTGTGGCAGCTTGCGCAAGGCGCGTGCGACAGTCAAAACGCGGTCAGCTGACAATGTCAACAAATGATTTAGAAGTCATGGTTCTGCTAATGAAATGGGGGCCTCGAGACCCTCCGCTTCCGCAACATCTCCATCGCTTCGACAAGTCTCTTTCCTGGGGCTGTGTTTTACCGACTCACTACTGCAAGTTGCACTGCATGCATGCCTGGAAGATAGGCGCAGCCTTTTCACTATGATTCGATAATGCATCTCCCCGTTGGTGTGGTTGCCTTCAGCCAAGCCTCGCAACCGCCCTGCGCAGCGCAGGTATATATCCCAAACCTTCCATTCTTGTCTCCCTTCCTTTCCTTTCTTCACGCACCCGAGCAGGCAAAGCACACGCGCGTCCGGCTATCTTTGTTTCGCGCAAAGAAAACCGAACCGTCAAGTCCTTCCGTGTGATTTCCATCGGCTGTTGACCCTCTCTCGAGAGTTTGGTTGACAGGCGTGGGAGTCATCCAGCGAAGACTTGCGCAGCTCCCCATCACATGTCCTTGTGAAGCGTCGCTCTCCCACCGAAGAACACATATCACGCTCTCTACTACAATCACAGGTTCTTCTGCCGTTCCTTCCTTCCTTCGCTCGTGGGTGAATCTCTGGATCTTGACAAGCAACGATCATTGCATTTTGCCTAATGTCGATGCGCTCTTTCGACAACATGTTCAAGCGATCGTTCAATACAAGGGAAGGTCGCATCGTCAAGTCGAAGACCACAAAGACCACTTATCCCGAACACGTGAAGAAGAAGATGCAGGACACTGTGGACGCCGGCTCGCCAGTGGCAAGGTAGGCAGCCTTGAATACAAAACAAGCCAGACATTTGCGGAAAGAGCAATATAAACTGATCCTCGTACAGTACATTGACGAGCCCCATCGTCACGTTGGTGGTGGGTTGTGAGCAGCGTCTCTTCGCTGCTCATGAAGACGTCCTCTGTCATTCACCCTACTTTGCGGCTGCTCTCAAAGGCAACTTTCTTGAAGGCAGCTCGAAGAGGGTGGAACTGCCTGATGAAGAACCCGAAATTCTATCCTGCGTTCTTGAGTTTCTCTACAAGGGTGACTATTATCCTCGCTTGCTGCACAACAAGCGCCGAGATACTTGGGATCTCGAGGACGCCCAGGATTTCATAAAAAATGGTGGCCGCGGAAACAAAGCATCGACAATTTACCTCGCTGACGCCGGTGGCGATGTCTTGAGAGATACCGTGGTGTACTGCGCTGCCGAGAAGTACGGCCTGGAGGAACTGAAACGCCTGTGTCTACGGAAGCAGGGGTTGCAGTCTGGAATCCAAGTCGACGTGATCTTGCGATCAGCTCGATATGCGTATGCGCACACGCCGGATACCGAGTCGCGACTCCGCGCTCATTACCTAGCCCTGATCATTCGAAGTCGCAAGACTTTCAAGAGGAGTGGAACCATGCAGATGGAGATGGAGAATGGGGGCAAATTGTTTTTCGACCTCTTTGTGGCGATGTGCAATCATATCGACGACATTGTCGAGATCAGGTAAGGGATCAACGCGTGATTTTGTGCAGGCATCGGAAATTCGCAGTTCATTGGAACAAAATGCTTACATCTTTTGATCTTGACAGCAACAGCCGGTCTCCCAGAGTCATCTAAAGGGTTGCGCAGACGACTCGAAGTAGGCTCGACGGTCTGGTGCTATGATGTGAGGTAGGACAGTATGTTTACCGGGCCGTTGGAATCAGCAACGAGTCTTGTGGGATCTCGCCTGCTTTGACAGCAGCAACAACTCCGCTTCTTCTCGAGGTTGGCCGACGACACTTGGTGGTTCATCGCAACCCTACTCCTTCTAATGGCCCTGCTTAGGCGCAATTTCGGCTTTCCGCTCTTCCATTGGGATTTTGAGAATTCCAAGGAAATGATCAACTCACACAGTGTGCGATCTACAACTCGCAACTCTTATGTACTTTGGTTGTTTTCTCGACTCTGGTGTCGACGTCTGATATGGTGAAGCTACTTTCAAGCTTGATCCCTAGGGACGGGATGAAAACCTCTATGTTCAGAATAGGAAAATGAGAGATTCGGCCACCTCAAATATCTTGTTTCCTTATGTTGTGCTGTCCTCGAATGCATCAGCATGTGTTGATCAGTGAATATTCAAAGTCCGGGAGAGCATGTGGCTGCAAGTAAGTATTTCCGTTCTTCCTGCCTCCAACCCTTCCATCCTCGAGTCCCCGCTCTATGTCAACCTGGACAACAGGCATTGGACCTTTCTCCCTGTTTTGTTCTTTCGCTTCAAACCAACCATTGATCTGCCTGTATCTGGCTTGGTTTCCTCTTACTTTCTCTACGCGTGAGATTCTATTCTCGACTGGACACACTTCAGAACTAATTAAAGACCGACCTTTTGGTCTTCTGTGATTTACTCATTGTTCTCTCACTTCCACGTCATTCAACCACCATGTCCAACTTGTGGGACAAGTCTACTTTAACAGCCGAAGAGCGGGCTCGACGATACAACCAAGAGGCATTGCTGGCATACTCGGACGGTTCGATAAATGGTGATGAAGCCAATGAGAGCATATCGAGAAGCAGAGTTCCACGTCATCCGTTTCCACAACCCAAGCGACGCAAAACATCCACAACGGTGACAGCGGAGCAAACTTCGTCTTTAGAATCTCCGAACATGTCAACATCATCAGGCCCTGCACCAGTTCGGATCAAACGCGAGGCCGAAGCACAAGCTCTGGAGAAGTTACAGCAAAAGCCACCTGAGCAAAGAGTGAAGGTCTACGTAGGGAAGAATAACACCGAAATGGAAGTGAGCCTCGAAGACCTCGAAAAAGCCCCCGTGTTGAAGTGCCTGGTCCGCGAACTCGGCACACCCAGTCCATACATTATGCATCCAGGACTGCTGGCTGTCGATGCAGACCAGTTTCGTGCGGTTCGCGAGTTTCTTCTGACGGATGAATACATGCCCGCACTTGTGAACCATCCACATGGGGAGAATGTCCTTCCAAAGCAACTCGACAACTGCGCCACTGTCGACCACTACAGAAACGAGGCACTAAGGAGTGGAAAGTTGTATGTCATCGCCGAAAGACTAGGGATGAAAAGCTTGCAAGACCTCGTTTTTCGGAAGATCACTCAGGCGCAGTTCCATCCGTACGGGCCCCAATGTCTCCTTGACTTGGCTATGATCATTTTTTCGCGACCCGATGCGGGTGACTTGAACCCAACAGAAAATCCGAACAAATCAGAAAGAGAACTAGAAGGAATTGGCGAGAATGAACAAGGGGATGTTCTCGAAGAATGGCTCATCAAGTCGATAAGGGACCAGTTTCAGCGGACTATGATCCATCATTCTCGACATTTCTTTCGTGTCTCAGAGCATGGTGCATGTAGGAAGAGAGGATTTGGTCCCAGAGTCCTAAGAAGTAAAGTTGAGGATTGGGAAGCACTCGATCCAGGTGTGGTCGCGATTGAAGACGATGACTGAGAGGTTGCCTTTGATATATTGAGGGCGTTTGAGAGACAGGGTCTACAGTACATACCCCTGGCTCGCCGCTACACACCTGACTTTTTCGGGGCGAGGAGCGAAGAGCAACACTCTATCTGTTTATCCGCATCTGGTTTATCTGATGTCTTGCGTGGTTTCGACATATGGCGAGGGAAATAGGCGCTATTTGCATCAACAAATATCAGGGTGCTGAGAGCTGGGAAGGCAGGGAAGAATACTCCCACCAGACGGATGGCAGCCTTGTCGCGAACATGGCACGTGCCTGGCTGACATTAGTTAGGCGTGTCAGGCTCCGTCACGCCCGTACTTGGCGTTCTCGGATAGGGGTTACTCCGGATCATGACCTCGGTAGCTACGATCGTCGTGCCTCCACATTTTTGTCCTCGCTTGATCAACCCCGCCGTTAACTTCTCCTTCAATCCCCCCGCGGCCTTGTTTACCAATGATGCCAAATGATGCGTGCCTCTATGATGACGCGTGCTTTGAATCTTTGGTCTTTTGAGTTTCGCCATCAGCTCCCAGAGCCAGGCTTGAATTGTAAGACGTACATCACGAAAAGAAGAGCCAACCCAAGGGGCTTTTCCTCAATCTGGACAGCCTCTTGGATGCCTCAGTATCTCCAATCCTGTAGGCCATGACTTGTCCACTTGCCTTTTGCCCGTCCTGTGCGACCCGAGGCTCCATCTGCTCGGCATTTTGGGTTTCTCGGATCTACAATCTCCATTGTGTTCGTCCCTTCCAAGATAATGGGGAAGGACTAAGAAGGCGCACCTGCCCCTCCTCCACCCCTCGTTCTCTGGCCAACCCGTGCACAAGTCGATGACCGAGTCAGACAAAGATAAAATCTACTAATGTCGCTCGTG